GAAAAATCAAGCAACCAGCATCTTTTACAAAAGTTTACAGATCGCTCGAGCAACAGATCTTGCGCTCGAGCGACCACTCACATTTTACATGTCCGCTCGAGCGTAGGAAGTCACGCTCGAGCGAGGACTTTACTTCCAGCACTTTTTGTTAAGTGTTTTCAAGTGCATTTTTGTATCATCTTTCCATCTTAGGCATTCCTAGGCCTAAGATTAAGACATCATAATGAGGATAAAGAAGTAGAAACACGTCAAGACAAGAAATAACTAAGTTAATGATTCCGAGTGTGTAATTCAGTACGTATTCATTCTGTATTTGTGTAGGTCACATGCTATAAGATATTTGAATTGTCTACTCTGTCCGTTACATGGAGCCATCTATTATCTGTGATTAATAACTTAGTAAAGGTATGTTCAAGTTAAATTATTTTCTGTATATGAAATAAGATTTGTTCTATGAGATGCCATGTTTTTTTACTATGAATGATTGTCCAACTCTAACAAATGTTTGTGGTATTATGCTATGATCTAAGTATGCTATCTGTACTCAGACCGGATGTTCCTTATGGAACTGACAAGTTATCTATACCCGGCTGGAGGTTTCCTTACGGAACTGACAAGTTATCCGTTTCCAGTCGGGAGGTTCTTTTATGGAACTGACAAGTTATTCGTATCCAGTCAGAGGTTCCTCTATGGAACTGACAAGTATAATCTATGATGCTCTGTATATGATCTGTTAACGCTAACGGATAAGCCATGTATGAACAAGCATGAATTCTGAATTCTGTATATGATTTGAATAAGAATACGAATGTGAACTAGCTTAGTCATGGGATATTGTTCATTTAACCCCTTTACTCTGTTACTATTCACTGGGCTCCCACTCACTATTTAAATTATGTATGTAGGTGATCAGGCATATGATCAGGCTCAGAGTTGAGAACCTGGCGTCTCAGTTTTTGTCAGCCAACCTTTGCGCCTCCCGAGAAGGTTCTAGATTACGTCAAGTCTAGTGGCTGTGTTGTTATGAATGTACAAGACTTTATTTCTTTTGCTATATGAACAAGTCTTTCTGTTTTTATGTACATGAAATAACGTATAAATATTGTATCTTTTGACGTCACTCATATGTTTATAAAAGTGTAAGATTATCTGTCTCGTGTATGTCTTCACAGCTCGATAGACTATGTATATTTTATGTATTTGCTTCCGCAGCCCTTAATTGTACATTATTATGTTAAGAGGCCTTTGGTAATCCAAGAATTACTGGCCGGTTACGACGCTAAACCTATAGGGGCGGGTTGGGTCGTGACATCAATACTCTACACAATTAATTTATATATATTTTTATTAATCCAACCACAACATATTTATATTTAATTTTTTAAATAAATTTTGCATAGTTCTATTTATACATATTTTTATTTTTAAAATAAAATTAAATAATTAGAATCACTTTTAGAGGGTGTTTGACATGCTATTTTATATGATAATACACTTTTATAATACAATAAAACTAAAACTATCAAAATAAATAAATAAATAATTTAACTAAATTTATTATATATAAGCATCCAAACTACACTCTCGTAGAAGGATAAAGTTAAGCTTATTAAAATAAATAATTTAAATTTAAATTTTATTTTCAATTAAAATTAATATTATTCTTTTGTAACACATATCATAATATAAAATATCATTCTATTAATTAAAGTTTACTCTATTGTGATTTTATACCAGACATTTCTAAAAGTGATTTACATACATGTGTATCTTCCAATTTGATATTGACTGATTAAAATAATAGAACTCAATACTTTTTTTGGTTAAGTTTTAGTGTAAATATTTTTTCCCATTTTTTTTTGTGACTTTTTTTTGTATGTGTCATGTGACACTTAGGGGTTGTTTGAGATGATCTAAATAAGTGCACTTTTTGACTTTTTATGAAAATAGGTTGGATTTGGGTTGGGTTTGAAGTGATGTGTTAGAGAGGTAATGTGACTTAAATAAGATGATATCACTTAAATAAGATAGTGACTTTTTGACTTTTTTGAAACTTGCCAAACCAGCCCTTATTAACAAGCACACAAAATATTCATTTATGTGACAGTAAATGGCACTTAAAATTTGTGCAATGATTGAGACTCCTACCTTCACAAGCCCCCTACAAATTTAGATCACTTATTATATGGATCTCACACATACATAAAAAGGCCATACACATACATGGAGGACCAAGATCACTTTAGAAGTATGGGGGTCATCTCCGAAGGGAGTCTCAAATATTTTCCTTAAAATTTATTGTCACATTAGTGTTCTACCCGGTGTTTCAATTTGTTTCATGCCTTAACTCTTTGCCTTTTATTTAGCGAAAAACAAAAAATTGTTTTATGTGGATGTGATTTTAATATATAAAATATTTTTCTTACAAATTACTTTAGGAAATTAGATGTCAAATATTATTGAGAATTTGAAAATATTATATTATCAAGTGAATCAATTATATTGTTTAACATACAGTCTTAATATTGTAATTTGTAAGTAATTTTTTGTGATTTTCGACAATTTGACATAATTCAACGTGATTGACATTGAATTTTTAAATTTAAAACCATTTTAATTTAAATTTGATATTATATTTATGTTGCCAAAGTAATTTACAAAATTCATGCCTTTTTTTGTGTAAATAAATGGAAAATAAAAAAATGCAATGCGACTTCATAATTTTTTTTTTTTGGTAGTGGTGATAGTGAGACTAATTTTTATTTTTTTTATATATTTCTTTTAAAGTTTAATGATGAAATAAAAGTATATTATATAAAATATTATTAGCAAGAACGTTTGCTGATAAATAATGAATTTGATAGCATTATAATATGAGAGATTTGTTAGAATTTTTTTTTTCAAGTGTTTGTATCCTGATTAATTCATAAGATATTTTCGTATTTCAATAAGTTCTATTATTTGAACATTTGATTTACCAAATCTTAATTCTCATATTTAAAATATTTTATGGACAAACTCCCCTTACAAATATTTGTCGAACGGTTAGCAATTTAGTGATGTGAACATTCATATTTTACAATGTGAATATTCACATTGACGGTGTGAACATTCACATCATGGAACATTTACATTGTAAATGTAAATATTATTAGGGATATTTTGGTAATTATGTCACTTATAGAATGTTCACATCACGAAACATTCACACTGTAAATGTGAATATTATTAGGAATATTTTAGTAATTATGTCGCTCATAGGACTTATTGAAATATAAGAATAATATAGACTAAATAGAACATAAGTAGGTAAAAAAAGATTTATGAAAAGTGCCCCTTATAATATTTTATAATCTTAGATTTTGTATTAAAAATGTTAGTAAAACATGGCCTAATTTTATATTGTATTTCAAGCTGATAGAACAGGTTAATAATATGTCATTTTTAAGTAACAATCATATTCTAAAACTTTTAATTGTTCCTTTATACAATAATAATAAAATTAAAAAATGCTAGAAATTACCTAAATTAATAAGGAACATTTGCACACAAGTTTTAATTTATGAACTTATACTCTATTAAGTCCTAACTAAGATTTTTTAGACATTCAAATCCCATTAAAATTTTTAATAATTGGAATTGTCCTCCAAATAATAATTGTTCATCATTTATAATTATCTATAAAGGAACATGATAATTTGACATTTATTTTGATTTTCCAAATTTTAAAATATCAAATTTCAAATTGAAAAAACTAAAAAAATATATGTGCAATTTGGAAAAAAAAAAAAATTGAATTATTTTTTTGTGCAAAACTAAAAATTTTGTGTTTATAAAGGAACATGATGATGGAACATTGATGTGCAAAACTGGGAAAAAAAACTTTAAAAATGAAAAAATTGATAATGTTTTCAGTTTTAAAATAGAAAAAAATAGATAATGTTTTCGGTTTTATTGGATAATTGAATCAAACTAATAAGTAGAAGGGTAAAAATATTTAATTTCATACTCTATTTTTTCATCAGTTAATGAAACAATTATCTGGAACATTATTATGCAAAATTGATAATGCTCTTAATTTTAAAAATGGGGAAAAACTGATAATATTCTCAGTTTTACTAAATAGGACTTATTGGTTCAAAAAATCTTAGATAAGATCTAAACTACCATAACATTTATAAACAAGACTTTTTGGTAATTAACTCAATTATTAATTGAAATAAATTTATGACATTATTCAAAATTATTAATTAATTTGATAATTTATTCATAAAATTAGTCATTTGTTATGAAATTAGAAATTTTAAAAAGCGAGATATAATTTTTGAAACTATAAAAGACAAATCCTATTTTAAGCAAATATCAAGAGATGTATTTATAATTTATCCTAATTACATTAAGTTTGTTTATTTATTTTTATTGGCACCAAAGTGTTTCGATCAAACCCCTATTAATTTACAAGGGTACACAAGTCCTCAGTGAAAAGTTTTTCGCAAGTACACCACGGTTAATTTAGGAATTTTCTCTTAATTTGTTAGCCCTAAAGAATTGTTTTCACTAAAGAGGTAAATTTCTTTAAAATTTTAATTCGCTTAATACTTAGACCTCTTTTTACAATATCTAAAAATGTTAATTTAGTAGCTTATTAGCTTATTTGGATTATATTATTTATCTATTTTTTTTTTACGTATGTTCATAATAAACAAAAAAATCAACTTATAAGCTATATCTAAAACAAAACTAAATCAATTGTTCATCAATAATTCATTATTAATATAAATGAAAAAATAATGATATCATATTTCTTTATATTGAAATATATATATTTCTTTATTTATTACTACAATTTTACATTATTTATATTAATTCGGTCACTTTAACCTTACTAAGCGAGATCAACTACAGGAGAGGTGAGGGTAATTTACCAAAAACAAAATGACTCTGTTTTGTAATTTTGTAAACTTGAGAGGGGTTGGTATAAATGTCACAGGTTAGGGTTAGGGTTTCTCTTCTTCTCATAGTTTCCCATTCAACCAGAAAAAGTGCCTCATCCTCTCCTCTCAGACGTAGACGACGAAGTTACTCCGGCGAATTGCTCCGGCACTCCAATTACTCCCTTCGTCCCCACTCTCGTCACTCCCAAATTTTCTGTCAATCAATAAAGTAAATTTTCTCTCTTTTTCTTCAATTTCTGAAATCAATCCACGAAACTTGATTGAAGAACACCCCTGCATGATTTCCAGAACCGTCATGCTGAACCCACCAGTTTATTTTTATTTTATTTTATTTATTTTCATTTGAAAGTTTGAATCTTGAAGCCCTAAGTTTAAGGATGTATTATCACTACTGTGTATTCGTTTTTTGTGTTTGGTTTAAATTTCGTAATTTGATTTGATTTCTCTCCGTTTATTCAATTGATGCAATTTAACTGATTATGTGTATTGTGAATTGTTATACCCTGTGGTTGAAGAATTTGATACGGATAGGTAATTTTTTTCTCTGGGGGTAATTGTAATACCTAAATTTTTATTTATGTAATATTTTTAATATATTTATGATGTAATTATGGTATCACGGTTGGAATTGACGTTGTGGATTTTATAGTTGTTTAGTTGATTGATTTGTATGAATCCCTCTTTGTCAGTCTAAGTGCCTTTTAATGTTTACACTTGATAATTTCAACTAGTAATTACATAAGTGAATAAAGGAAGATTAATATACTTGACAAAAGTACGAGGACAAAAACATGATTAGTGTACTTGGTTATGCAGATTTGATTTGGTACCCAACTTTCTTGGTGTTTAATCGTCTTTATCTTTTTCACTTTCTTGCACTCCCTCTCTGTCCTAAGCTAGCGATTAATGAATCCCACTGAGTTCATCAAATTCACCATAGACCAGCTGGTTGAAATAATTGCCAATGGCCTAATGTTCTCACTTTTGCAGTATTTTTCCTGTAACATTTTAGGAAGTTTTTAACCACATTCAAATACTTGATTACAATCAAATGGGTAGAAGTTGTTAATCGTCTTGAATTTCTGAACACTAAATTGACAAAATAGTTCCCTGATAAAAATTCCATTTGAATGTCTATCAGCATGATTATTTGGTCAATTGACCATCTACTTTTCAAAGTTTTACATTTTTTCTGCCCATTTTATCAACTCATATAATACTTCCAATTAGTTTTTTTTTAGGGTTAGGGTTAGGGTTAGGGTTAGGGTTAGGGTTAGGGTTAGGGTTAGGGTTAGGGTTAGGGTTAGGGTTAGGGTTAGGGTTAGGGTTAGGGTTAGGGTTAGGGTTAGGGTTAGGGTTAGGGTTAGGGTTAGGGTTAGGGTTAGGGTTAGGGTTAGGGTTAGGGTTAGGGTTAGGGTTAGGGTTAGGGTTAGGGTTAGGGTTAGGGTTAGGGTTAGGGTTAGGGTTAGGGTTAGGGTTAGGGTTAGGGTTAGGGTTAGGGTTAGGGTTAGGGTTAGGGTTAGGGTTAGGGTTAGGGTTAGGGTTAGGGTTAGGGTTAGGGTTAGGGTTAGGGTTAGGGTTAGGGTTAGGGTTAGGGTTAGGGTTAGGGTTAGGGTTAGGGTTAGGGTTAGGGTTAGGGTTAGGGTTAGGGTTAGGGTTAGGGTTAGGGTTAGGGTTAGGGTTAGGGTTAGGGTTAGGGTTAGGGTTAGGGTTAGGGTTAGGGTTAGGGTTAGGGTTAGGGTTAGGGTTAGGGTTAGGGTTAGGGTTAGGGTTAGGGTTAGGGTTAGGTTCCTCTTCTTCTCATGGTATTCCATTCAACCAGAAGAAAGAAGTGCCTCATCCTCTCCTCTCAGACGTAGACGACGAAGTTACTCCTGTGAATTGCTCTAGTAGTCCAATTACTCCCATCGTCCCCACTCTCTTCACTCCCAAATTTTTTGTCAATCAATAAAGTAATTTTCTCTCTTCAATTTCTGAAATGAATCCACGAAACTTGATTGCAGAACACCCCTGCATGATTTCCAGAATTGTCATGCTGAACCCAACAGTTTATTTTATTTTATTTTTTTGTTTTCATTTGAAAGTTTGAATCTTGAAGCCCTAAGTTTAATGGTGTATTATCACTACTGTGTATTCAATTTTTGTGTTTGGTATAATTTTCGTAATTTGATTTGATTTAATTTCTCTTTGTTTATTCAATTGATGCAATTTAACTGATTATGTGTATCGTGTATTGCTATACCCTGTAGTTGAAGAATTTGATACGGATAGGTAATTTTTTTCTTTGGGGGTAATTGTAATACCTAAATTTTTATTTATGTAATATTTTTGACATATGCATCACGGTTGGAATTGACGTTGTGGATTTTAGAGTTGTTTAGTTGATTGATTTGTATGAATCCCTCTTTGTCAGTCCAAGTGCCTTTCAATGTTTACACTTGATAATTTCAACTAGTAATTACATAAGTGAATAAAGGAAGATTAATATACGTGACAAAAGTACGAGGACAAAAACATGATTAGTGTACTTGGTTATGCAGATTTGATTTGGTACCCAATTTTCTTGGTGTTTAATCGCCTTTATCTCTTTCACCTTCCTGCACTCCCTCTCTGTCCTAAGCTAGCAATTAATGAATCCCATCGAGTTCATCAAATTCACCAAAGACCAGCCGGTTGAAATAATTTCCAGTGGCCCAATGTTCTCACTTTTGTAGTATTTTTCCTGTAACATTTTAGGAAGTTTTTAACCACGTTCAAATACTTGATTGCAATCAAATGGGTAGAAGTTGTTAATCGTCTTGAATTTCTGAACAATAAATTGACAAAATAGTTCCCTGATAAAAATTCTTTTGAATGTCTATCAGCATGATTATTTGGTCAATTAACCATCTGCTTTTCAAAGTTTTACATTTTTTCTGCCCATTTTAGCAACTCATATAATACTTCCAAATAGTTTTTTATTTTTATTTTTATTTATTGTTATTAATATTTTTTGTTTGCAATTGTTACCTCTTTGTGATTATATAGTTGCCTGCTTTGGTGAATCAATAAGAAGTTGAATGAGTTAAATATTTCTGGTATAATTATGCCAATACATTCGGAAGGGGTTGCATGTATTCGTGACATATATATATATAATATATATATTTTTCTTTATTTATTATTATAATTTTATACTATTTGTATTAATTCGGTCACTTTAACCTAACTAAAAGCGAGAGATCAACTACTGGAGAGGTCAATTTAAATTACCTAAAACAAAATGACTCTGTTTTTGTAATTTTATAAACTTGAGGAGGGTTTGTGTAAATGTCACAAGTTAGGGTTAGGGTTAGGGTTAGGGTTAGGGTTAGGGTTAGGTTCCTCTTCTTCTCATGGTCTTCCATTGAACTAGAAGAAAGAAGTGCCTCATCCTCTCCCCTCAGACGTAGATGACGAAGTTACTCCCATGAATTGCTCCGGCAGTCCAATTACTCCTGTCGTACCCACTCTCATCACTCCCAAATTTTCTGTCAATCAATAAAGTAATTTTCTCTCTTCAATTTCTGAAATGAATCCACGGAACTTGATTGAAGAACACCCCTGCATGATTTCGAGAACCGTCATGTTGAACCCAAGGGTCTTCTCACCTCTTCATAAGAAGCATGCTAGGGTTTCAATTTTTAACTAATAGAATGATTCCCGAGTTAGTTTTGTATTCTTGAGTAGTTTGATATATTTCAGTCCATGAAATTAATGCTCTATTAAAATCCATGTTTTGAATGTGTTAAGTTAAATTCCTATTCATATTTTGTTTCATGGTTAATAACTCATGTTTGAACTAAGTTGAGGTATCACTATGAAACCTTCAAAAAGGGTTAGTGTTTGCATGATTTTATAAACTTTGAGTACAATATTGTTAGCTTTCTATGAAATCAAAATAAATGATTATTTAATTTATTTAGGATTTTCACGTCAAACATAAAAAAATATATTTTATGGCATATTAAAACACTATTAGTATAAACACCATACAATCACAGTTATTTAGAAAATATGATTAAAAAATAATCACACTTATTTAAAAAAATACGATTAAAAATAAATACTATCACACTTACTCAAATTAAGTGTGATTAAAATATCAATGTAATTTTTTTTTTTATCACACTTCCAATAAAAATGAGATAGCTTTTTGTAGTAGTGTTATTTTGTTTATTGATTAATATGCGATTAAAAGTAAGGTTCGAGTTTATGTAAACGATGCAATTTAGGAAACGATATAAATGAAGAAATAATTCTAAATAAGGAAATAATGCAAAATCTGACTTGATGAAGATTAAACAACAAATCATTGACAGAAAACACAATAGCAGGGGATGAATCATTTACCCACGTTGCAATTCTTACTTTCATAAGCTCACAGACTTCCTCCAGATTTGGTTGCACTCCATTAAACACGATATCTTTTCTCAATTTCCAAATAGACCACAAAATTGCAATTGGGGTGGCATTCCAAATTCTTTATTCTAGCCTTTTCATATGAGTCCCAGCCCAAAACTGCAGCAGACTTACCACTACCTAGGACATGGTGTCACTTGTGATGTTAAATAGATGGTTTTGATTGAGTTTTGAAAGAATATTGAAGAACACTTTGAAAGTTTGGCGTGTTCTTGAGGCTTGGGATTTGCTTGCACCATTCAAACCATCAAGTCTATCTTTTCCCTCCTACTTCACGAGCAAACCTCAAGCCTCAAGAACACGCCAAACCTTCAAAGTGTTCTTCAATATTCTTTTAAAACTCAAGAACACGCCAAGCCTTCAAAGATAGACTTGATGGTTCGAATGGTGCAAGCAAACCCCAAGCCTCAAGGACACGCCAAACTTTCAAAGTGTTCTTCAATATTCTTTTAAAACTCAATCAAAACCATCTATTTAACATCACAAGTGACACCATGTCCTAGGTAGTGGTAAGTCTGCTGTAGTTTTGAGCTGGGACTCATATGAAAAAGCTAGAATAAATAATTTGGAATGCCACCCCAATTGCAATTTTGTGGTCTATTTGGAAATTGAGAAAAGATAGTGTTTAATGGGGTGAAGCCAAATCTGGAGGAAGTCTGTGAGCTTATAAAAGTAAGAATTGCAACGTGGGTAAATGATTCATCCCCTGCTATTGTGTTTTCTGTCAATGATTTGGTGTTTAATCTTCATCAAGTCAAATTTTGCATT